TACTCAGCAAAGGCACTAGTGTGAACCTATAAATGAGTCACTCGTGTCCGCTCCAGACTGTAAACTTGGACGATGAGGAGAAAAACGATATATTTTTGAAAAAACCACATCAGTTGATACCAAGTATTTATTGAGATCTAAAGAGTGACACTTGTATCCTTTCTGGAGGCAAGAATATTCAAAAAATACACACTTTAAGACCTTTGGGTGTAATTTTGTCACAGTAGGTCGCACATCTCGAACATAGCAGGAGTTACCAAATATCTTTAGGTTGCACCAGAAATAAAAACTTGTTTGGAAAAAGGAGACTGTAAGGAACATTCCCATTAAGCAATGTAGATGACATACAATTAATCAAGAAACAAGCTGTAGAAACGGCATCAGCTTAGAATTGCTTAAAAACTTGTGTTTGGAACAAGAAAGCTCGAGTTGTCTCAAATAAATGTTTGTTTTTCCTCTCGGCGACCCCATTTTGAGATGATGTATCAACACACAAGAATTGGTGAAGAATCCCGTGTTGAGTTATATAGTTCTGAAATGAATCTGATATAAATTTCTTAGCATTATCACTTCTCAATACATGCACAGAAACATTGAATTGTGTCTTGACTTCAGCACATAAAACATAAAAGTGAGAAAATACTTTCCAACGATATGTCATAAAACATATCTAAGTCATACGAGAAAAATCATCTACAAAGGTAACGAAATACTTGAACCCAATTTCGAACGGAACAAGGCAGGAGCTCCAAACATCAAAATGAACTAACTCAAATAGATTCAGTTCATCTATTGACCCTTGGACCTGATGGACTACGGTGATATTTTGCAAACCGACATGACTCACAATCCAGTGAGAATACATCATGAAACTGAGGACATAACTTCTTCAACACAGGTAGAGATGGATGTCTCAACTGACAATATGTTTCGAATAAAGAGATTATACTAGAGCACACAACTGATCGAGGTACCCAAGTATCAAGAATGTAAAGACCATCTAATATATTTCTTTACCAATAATCTGATTCGTCATAAGATCAGGAAAAAATGAATACAACAATTCAAATCTTTGGTAAGCTTACT